GCTGCTTCTTAACCGGTCTTTGATGGTATTTCATAGTTTTTAAAGTGCTTTCCTATGATATCATTTAGTTGCAAAGACTGGGCAAGTGATGTAGGAGGCAAAGCTCTAAGATGGTCTCCACGATTTCCACTGGCTGGGGTGACTCCCTGAATAATCCCCTTGCGGTGAGTGTAAGCAGAACCTACAGATATGATGAGACAGTCACTTCTATGTTTACAGTTAACCTATCTAAGACTCTATCTGAGCAGACTTGAAAGAGAGATTCTTCTTCTGACCCTGAAGAAGCAAATATCTGTGCTGGGAAAGAGCCTTGAGCATGCTGTGTGGTAGGGGCATTGCTGGAGCTGAGAGCGATCCCCAATGGACAGACAGCAAAACAGCCATCCTAGTCAGACAGCTGCAAGGAAACAAACTCTGCCAAAACTCTGAATGAACTTGGAAGTGGATTCTTTCCCCAGTGCCTCCAGATGAGAACACAGTCTGGCTGACACCTCAATTTCAATTTTGTGAGACCCTGAGCAGAGAACCCTGCCCTTCTGACCAACAGGATATGTGTTATAATTAATGAGTGTTGTTTTAAGCCACTACATTTGTGGCAACTGGTTATAAAGTAATACAAAATTAATAAAAAGCAAAACCACGGAATGTTATGACCATTTCATCAATAAGGAGACTGGTTCCGAAAGATGAACTGATTTTCCTAATTGTATTCTGAAAATTAGTGACAGACCTGAGACTGATACCTTGAATTTTCATTTGTACTTCAGCATTCTTTCCACAGGACTGTAATGCTCTACACTAATGAGAATTATTGGGAGATTTTCCTTACCCCTGCCCACCAACAAGATGGATCATGCATAATATATTGTGTTCTTAAAAAGTTCAATGCAGAGTAAAACAATCATTTTATTGATTCTTATGTCAGTTCTGTAGCATAATGAATACATTAATCATAATCTTATTAAATGTTTAACTGATAGTATTTTAAAAGAATCTTGAGTCAAGTGTTAATCCTCATCACTAAATAAACAGCATTCCGAATAGTCAAGATTGGGAAATGTGATAGGTAATTCAACCCACTTTTTGTATTGTTTCTTTGTTGAATTATTTTTGAAAACCACTACAAAATTCCTTATTTTGAGACAAGGCAAATCTAAGCCTTTGTGCACCATCATTGTTCCCCAAGCCTGAAAAACAAAAGAGAGAACAAGAGGAAAATTAAATGCACATGCAATTAAACATTCCTTTTGGCTAAAGTAAAATCAGGCCCACAGCAATTTACTCACCTGGCCACATTTGCAGATGATTTCACCGTTTGTTTGATAGTCAGCACACTTCTTTTGCAGGGCTTTATTTTCTCTTACAATGTAAAGTTCCCTGTAAGTATCAAAGGGAAAGAATCATCACAGAGAACTGACAAAATACCAATGTGTAGTTCATGGGTTTTTGGACCTGGAGCTCAACCACATGCCTGCAGTATACATGGCATTCCTTCCTTCCCTCCTGCTTGCCAGGCTTGTTATGGCAACTAAGGCAATGCTTCTCTTCTACACATACCTCTCAAGGGGCATGTTGCCTTTTGTAACTTCTTTCAAGTCTGTTGGTTATATTAACTTGACTTTAGTTGTTCAAAAATTTGAGAACAAATGATGAGCATACAAAAATACATGCCTTGGATCAAAATGGCTTTGGTTCTTACACTTCTCTTTTCCTGCACCAGTGCAGTTTATTTAAAACATAGACATTTAAAATAGGAATATAATTGAGAGGCTAAAGGAGAGGAAGTTGTAAAATAAATGATTCTCATTTGCACTATTTTGAAAGAACATTTACAATGCAACCTGCCTCACCCCTTGTGGAAAATTTTAAAGATAGGTCTTTCTGGACTCACTTGAATTCTGGGGTCATATTGACATGATGCATTTTCTCAATTACGTGGATATCTTCCCCAGAACAGGCTAGCACGCTGCAGTTTTTGCAAAGGAAAGTTATTAGTGATGGGTTATTCTTGTAATGCTTGGCAATACTTCTCTTGGTTTTCATTTTCTTTTCCATTATACTTTGCATCTGTAATTCCAAAATCTGGACAGAGAAAGGAATAGTTAGTGGTTTCAGGTTTGTTTTCTTTTCTCAGTTTCATAGAAGTAAGTCTCCTGAAATTTGGAGGTCTTAGTTGTGAAAATATACAGTTAGCTCATGGTCTAGGAAATGAAAATAATGAGGTAATAACCCTCCCCGCAAAGAACTTGGTACATAATAATCTCCTGTAACCATGAAAATATGCAATCTTTAGGTATTCAAAAAGTAGCCCATTCCATTTCAGAAAAGTTCTATTGTGAGAAAGTCCTTAGCAATATTCAACAAAAATTCTCTGTGTAGCCTACCCATTTGTTTTATTTATTTATTTATTTATTTAGATGGAGTCTTGCTCTGCTGCCCAGGCTGGATTGTGGTGGTACTATCTTGGGTCACTGCAACCTCCATCTCCTGGGTTCAAGCGATTCTTCTGCCTTAGCCTCCCGAGTAGCTTGGATTCCAGGCACCTGCCACCATGCTCAGCTAATTTTTGTATTTTTAGTAGAGATGGAGTTTTGCCATGTTGCCCAGGCTGGTCTCAAACTCTTGATCTCAGTGATCCACCTGCCTCAGCCTCCCAAAGTGCTGGGATTACAGGCGTGAGCCACTGCACCGGCCTACCCATTTGCTTTAATTCTGTTCCATAAAATAGGTCTAAACTTCCTCCCACATGGAATCTCTTTACTAAACACTGTTATTACATTACCAACGTCTTCTCTAATCTATGCTAAGCACCTAAATTCCTTTAATCTTTTTTCAGCCTTTACAATTTTCAGACCCTTCACCATCTTAATCAGTCTACTGTTTACACATTTGTGGCAGAAACTGCTAGTTTTGCCCTCAGTGTCCATTTTCCCTAACAGAGTCATAATTTTATTCTGGGTGGAAATACGCTAGCTAAATGACTACATTTCCAAACCAGCAGTCAATGACATGTAAAAAGCTGTTGAGTGGAATTTTCAGAAAATCTTCTCAAAAAGTAGATAGCTGGCATGTGTACCTTTCGCTCTTTCCATTTTCTTCTTACTTCCTGCCTAGAATGAGGATGTGGCAGCTGAAATTCTAAAAGCCATCTTCGACCATGAGAATGAAAGCCCAATGCTATAATGGCATAAAAGAGAGAGAAAAGGCCTGGATTCCTCATAACATCATGGAGCCAATACTGCCTAGATTCCTTATGTGAGAGAATATGCCCATAAACATCTTTATTCTAGGCTCTGTGACTAGCAGCAGCACTTATTTTATAACAGAAATAATCTAGTTTATGTAACATATGAAAGTTGACATAGGGACTGACCAGTGTTTATACTAACACAACTTCATGGTAGAAAAATCTGGTTCTTGAATAATTTACCTCCAAACTGACCTCTCATAGATGAAATATTTATATTAAATTATGGAGGAAGTAATTGTTTTCTTTAAGACCGAGGGGAAATTTTCAGTAGAAGTAAGTCATCAGTGCAGATGAACGAAGCCCATCTCTTTGGCTCCTAACTCTACATTTTAGATCTCCCTTCAAGGCAGCCACATATAGCGTAGAAAAGAGAATAAAACCTTGCAAGCAAGCTCGGAGGCTATATAATAGGTTAATCAGAAAAGTACCAAGATGAATTTTCCATGTAAATTATAGAAAAATACATTGAAATATTTTTCCCTAAAAGTTAAAATAGGTTACTTTTATAAGACATTTACAGTTCAGTGAGCTGATAAGGTAATTATAGGATCACATACATGTGGGAATTAAGAAATGTGTATGAATGAGTCAGAAAAAAATAAAGCCAAGGTAAGTGTATGGATTTGTAATCAGGACATCAGAAGCTAAAAGACTAACTCTAAAATAGCAAAGGAATTTGAAGTAACTAGAGGGGCAAACAAACAAACAAAATAACTCATAATAAATATACACGAGGCAGAGCTACAATCAGCCTAAGTCCAAATAGAGTGTAATAATGTAGCAAAAATTGCAATCAATGCTAGAGAAAAACATTTATGATGATCAACTTGCTCCTATAAGTCTGATTTAATTTTAAGAAGCTCTGTTATGTATAAACTGTGTTTATGACATGGAAAAAATATTTCATCTTATCTGTCAATTCTCATTATTCATTAGTGGTTGCCTGAAGATTGTGTTGAGAAGGATGCTCAAATTAGAAGAAAGTAAACATCTTCCCAGTAGCAATGTTTTCTACAGGCTTTGAACAGGTTACTGGTGGCGTGTACCCCTCCTTCCCCATTGCCACTCCTACTTTCAGTTCATCTACCCGAAGTCGTTTTAGGAGGGCAGGTTTCTTGGCCAAAGGAGACCTAAAAATATAGTCCATTCTGGGGCCTCCAAAGGGACAGTGTCTTACTCTAAAGAATGTCTGGAAGAGTTTAACCCTTAAACTCCAGAGATTGTCCTAGTGTGGACCCCCAAACAACTACTCTTAAAATATCAGTCTTTGTAAACATCTACTTGATTAATTCTCTTAGGATATTAACTGGGAGGCAGTAACTTTCCAGTGGCATAATTTGGTGACAAAAGTTTGATTTGATACTCTAAAATGTTTGCTTTGCCTTGTATTTAAAGCAGTTTTAAAATAAAGGTTTGTGCAGAAACCTGGTCAGGAAACCTTGGAATTGGTAATAGCAATGCACACCAATTTGAAAGCATTCCTTTAGTGAAACTCTATTTAAGGTAGAGCCAATTCCAATGTTAAGAAACTAACATTCACACCCATATGCAAGGGTGTGAATTTTCTTCTAAATGGATTGTTTGCTATTATAGTAGTTACAGTCTTTAATTCAGTGGTATGGGGGATTTCCTGAAATACTATAGAAATACATTCTTTCTTCACTGCATTCCTTTGCACAACTCAAATAACTGTGCGTTAGTAAATTGAGATGTAGCTATATGACATATTCTGTATTTTCTTTTCATTCAGATGCAGCTTCAGTGTCACTCCTTCTAAGAGACCTTCCTCAACCACCCAGTTGAAAGTATCCATCTAGTCTATGCAGCCATAAAAAAGGATGAATTCATGTCCTTTGTAGGGAAATGGATGAAACTGAAAACCATCATTCTGAGCAAACTATCGCAAGGACAGAAAACCAAACACTGCATGTTCTCACTCATAGGTGGGAATTGAACAATGAGAACACTTGGACACAGGGTGGGGAACATCACACACCAGGGCCTGTCGTGGGGTCGGGGGAGAGGGGAGGGATAGCATTAGGAGATATACCTAATGTAAATGACGAGTTAATGGGTGCAGCACACCAACATGGCACATGTATACATATGTAACAAACCTGCACGTTGTGCACATGTACCCTAGAACATAAAACATAATAAATAAAAAAAAAGAATTTCAAAAACTACAAAAAAAAGAGAAAGTATCCATCTAGTCAGTTGTTTCATATCATCCTATTCTAATTCTCTTTACTTATCTTGATATGTTATATTTCTTGTTTTTTAATGTTTGTTTACTGTTTCTGTCCTCCAAATCTCACCAGGCTCATACTAGAAATATAAACTTCATGCAACAGGAGTCTTATGTGTTTTGTTTGCCTCTGTTGGCTATTCCTATAATGTTACCTGGCACACAGTAAGCATTTCATCTACATTTCTGAAATTAAAAAATGGTGCCTTTACAAACAAATTGGGTCAAACCAAAATTACCATGTTGGATTGAATCAGTGAGTTGCAGCAGTCTTTCTGGAACAAGGCAGCGTAAATTTATATTATCAACATTTATGGTTGGTTTCACTGGGAGGAGCAACGGCTCCCCGATAATTTCCTGCCCACTATGGATCTCGATTCTCTGCATGTGAATCCGGATTAAGCACAGTTCACTAAACAGAAACTTATAATTCAGCACAATTTTTTTCTGGAGAATGAGCCACAGAGATATCAATGGCAACCACATGTGGCCATTTTTAAATGAAAATCAAATTCAGAGGTAGCCAACAATACCTTATGAGCATACTCCTCTGGTTTCATATTTTGAACACAGTGTATAGCTTTATACATCATCTTCTCTCGGAAATCATTAACTGTCTCACGTTCGATAACTCCTGAACCGCTGTGAGCAACCAGGACATAGGTGCTCTCATCAGCTCTGGCTCGACCACGGGCCTGAAAACACAAATAAATCAAGTAAATGAAAGGGTACGCTGTGATACAAATCTTCCTGGTTTTTTCTGGGAATGATATTCATTGCTCAGAATGAAATGATATTGGGTTGTTCAGCATGCCAGTCTTTAAATGGGTAAAGTTAGTTATTAATCCATCCTTGTAAGTCAGCTCTTTGAAACTTAAAATAAGCTTTAATACAGAAACAGTGTTCTACAGTGATGATGATTAGGCCTCAATGACATAATATCATCCTGTCCAGCCTTTTTGCTCTCAGAAATTCTCTCTCAAACTATGAGAACCATGATCAATGACGTGGACTGAGGAGTCGTCTTTCTTGGTAGGAAGCTGGGAGGAATGAATGGAGAGAAGGGTCATCTCTGACCTTGACACCAGGGCTGGTAAGAAGGCAGGTCAGTTTCTGGCATCCTACGTTACATTCTTAGCACATTTTCCCATGGGAATATATTTAACATGGTGATAACTTTCTTGATATTCAGCTATATTTTGACTAATAGAAACTTCTGTGGCCTGGCCCAGGAGCCTATCAACTATAAAATTATTCTCAAGGAAAAATGTATTCTAAGTTTTATTACTAAGTTTATCACTGACTTACAAATAAACTCCTGAAATAAAATTATTTGCTAATTTGATGGCAGTCTGGTTATCTTAGTCTTCTATGACTTGCCTTTTATTCAAGGATGCAATTTAAATTATTTTGAAAACCCTTCAGTTAATTTTATAGGAAGAATAGTATATTAATCAGCATAAACCTATGCCTACTCAACAGAAGGTTACAATAATTCCATTAACACAGGTGGGTAAGAGATAATGTGAAATCTGAATGAAAACAGAACACCTCACTCTTTTATTTATTTTTGCATTTATAAGTCTGCCCCCAACCAACATTTTATCATGAAAACTTCTAAACATACAGAAAATTGGAAAGGATAAGGGAGTAAAATGCAGAAACAGCAGGGCTCCCTCAGGTTTGGGCATGTTACTTCATCAGACAATTGTGGGACACCGTACTTTAGATTCCCGGTCCAGCTGGGGGCTCACAGACATCCTAGGAATGAGGAGGCTGCTTTTGACTCTTACAAATGGGGCTGGTGTCATGGTCCTGGAAAGCCTTAGGGTACAGAAATAGCCAAAGAGGAGTTGTTGTTTAAACATACAACAGGTATCTGGTTATCATATGAATTGACAGCAATATGAAAGGCAACAGTGCACAGCATTTAAAAAATGCTCTTTTAACAGGAAAAGGGCTTTGTTTTAAAAACTAAAAAGATGTTTTGTGCTGTTTAACTAAAAGAAAGCAATTAAAATAGGAACACACAAATAAAAATTAACATAGTAAGTAAAGGTATTTGAATGTACCTGGACCATGGCTATTTCATTGGTGACAAGACCATAACGGATAACAATGTTACATTCTTTAATATCCAGACCTTCTTCTGCCACTGTGGTAGCGATAAGCAGATTTATTTTTCCAGTGCGAAATTTACTAATGACTTCTTTTTGTTCATTCTGTAGAAACATTTTAATAAATTAAATTTTGTGATGCTAAACACATTAAAATCTTCTAATTAGAGGAAGAAATAATAAATTGCAACTGGTCAGTGTAAATCAAAGGATTAGATCATACATGGATTTGTTGCCACCTGTTTTTGGCATTGAACAAAGACATAATGGTGAGACAACATTTGATTTCCAATCTGGGATTACCACACAATAACAAAAATATTTCCATCATCCAGTCTGGAGGTGGGAAGACCATATTTTATGCCAAGGAAATAAACTGATGGGTGACTCCAGAGGAAGAAAGGAGGAGCTGTCGGTTGAGAAGAGGATATGACAATCAGAAACTAAAATGGGCTTTTCCCCCACTACATTAACTTCAGAATCTTTAATATTTGAGGATAAGATACAGAGATGCTTTGATATATTGTTTTCAGTCACAGAGAAAATGCACATTGTATATGCATTTGGTCACTTTAAGAACCATTTGAGTGAGAAGCTATGGAATATTCCTAAAAGGACACAAGAGAAACTGAAAACGTTGGCTGCATCTGGGGAGGGGAGCTGGAAGACTAGAAGTCAGTGGTATGCCTTGTGCTTTATTAATTTTGAATGAGGTAAATATATTCTTGATTCAAAGGGATAATATAAATAAAAATAAAAGAAGAGGTTATACAACTGTAATTAAAACTATTTTCAAATGAAAAATCTCTGAATTTTGAAAGTCAATATAAATAAATTAAAATATGCCCTCTTACCCTTACATGGGAGAAATGAGTGAGCACAAACCTAGCTTGATATGGACAATGTGGTTTTATTTTCATAACCACTCTCATCAAAGCTGTTGGTCCAGTGGGCATTTGGTGCACATCCACACTGTGTTTTGTCCCCATACATTAAACAAAAATAAAGCTGCCAGACCAAAACTATGTTCTTCCATCCCCTTCCCTTTCTTCTCAGAGGAGCGTGAGTCCTTATTTGACTCCTAACTGTTGGAGAACCCTGTAGAAAGGCCTCTTTTGAGTCTTCTCTGAAAATTTCTCCCTCCTGCCCTGACATCTCCCGATAAAAACTTACATGTCCTTGGGTTTTAGTAGAAGATGCCTGTGTCTTAATTTGAAGGAGTAACTTTAATAACAAAAATTCCAGACAGTGTCAGATCTTCAAGTCACATCACGTAGATGCCTAACACCATTGCTAAGGAGTTTATCCACCCCAGTTTACAAGGTGAGGATGCAAGGAGTGGGGAAGAAGGGAATATGTTCTGAATTTTGGCATACAGCCCCTAGGTTTGAAATGAATAAGGAGCAGAAAGTAGCTTGAACTAGGCTTTTCATTTGCACTCTACCTCTTTTTAAAGAGAAGCTTAGCCGTCTTACAATGAAAGTCATAATGCTAAAGCTAATATAAAAGAAATTTAAAAACAGGACTCATAAGAATCAACACAGACGCTGTGAGACTGAACTTGAATTTTGCCTGCTAGCTTTCTGGAAGCTAAGGCAAAAAGAAAAACATATTAAGCAAACTACATCTCATCAAAAAGAAGGAAGCAAACTTGTTACCCAAGGAAAACAGTACTTTCTCTGGCATTAATTTTATTGGCAGCGCTCACAAGAGTGCACGTAGAGGGTATATAAAGAGTTATAGTGAAGCATTTCAAGAATTTTTTCCCCAGCAAACACTGAAACAGAATTAATTTGCTCCATTGGCTTGAATAGTGATAACTGTAATAGAAAGGAAATATCCATTTGTCCAGAAAGACTCAGGGTCAATATGACCTTATCCCTCAGAAGAATATTTTACTCTAACAAGACATCATTGCTTTATGCATGCTTGTTATGTCTACAAGTGCCTTTTTTTCGTACCCAAGTGTTTTTTACTATGCTCTCAGTAAGCAGCATGTAAACAAAATAAAACAAAACACCTTAAAAAGGAACAGAAAACCTACTTATCAGAATCCCAAATCTCTAATGTATCAAATTCTTTAATTTTTCCAAGTTTCCCTATAGGTCTCATTCTATGTAAACATATTTTGCATAGTTCTAGTTATAATGCACACATTTTTGTGGGAGTTTGAATTTTCCACTTGATACTATATTGCAATCATTTCTGAACTTTGTTATTAAGTTTACCTGTCACTCATTTTTGCAAGGGAAACTTAGAAAGTTCTTCCAATTACTATGTGGGAAAAATGACTCCTAAAACAACACGTAACCTCTCAAAAACCACAGATTTGGTTGCTATTAGACTTAGATTTTATTTCAAGAACACATGTTTTATCCTGTAAATGTATTTGTGGATAGTGAGAGGATTGGTAGGAAAAGACTAAAAACAATTTGAGAAGAGTAATAACAGCATAAGAAAAGAAGTTCAGGCTGAGCGCAGTGGCTTATGCCTATAATCCCAATACGTTGGAATGCAGAGGCA